GGGCGGGCGGGCGGGCGTGCGGGCGTGCGTGCGTGCGTGTGTGCGTGCGCGCGAGTGTGTGTGCGTGCGTTCGTGTGTGCACAACTTTGCGATATACTACATGAGCGACGTCATCAGGCCCTCCAATGCTGGTGCCTCGAGGCCTACCTATCTGGTATGTGATCCTGGGGTGTGCTTCACTAAACGTGTAAGTCTGCACCGATCGTTGAGCAGGCTATAGCGTGCTGCCGATGCCTGTCCTAAACCACAAACCTGAATCGGTCGGAGTAGAACACACACACACACATACGATATACACATGTATTGGTATGAGAATGTATATACACACACACACACACATATATATATATATATATACATATGTGTGTATATGTTCATACATATATGTATATGGAGGCAGACGGGGGAGAAAGATAGAGAGAACACAAACCCATCGTTTACATGTGTATACACGCCTGCATGCTTGCACGTTTCTGTTCGTCCACGCATGCATGCAGGCCGGCAGGCAGGCAGAGAGGGGTGTCACTGCGTATACATATACAAAATTATAGGTATGTATGTAACTCTGCAAGGGAGGACCTCTGGGTCAAACATTTCGCCGGCATTGAGGCAGGCGTTTGCATTGATCCAGTTGTCTTTGCCCGAGAGGTACAGGCGACACAAGCAGGTCGGGACTTGGATGGCTACTGCCTCGCCACCGAAGATGTGCCGTCACGCTTAGAGCTTGAAGACTCGCTTCGGCGGACCCAGACGGGGCGGGCTTTTGGACTCGACAACATACCGGGCGAGGTCCTACACGTTGCCGCAGGGGCCTCCTCTCGTGCCCTCTACCAACTTTTCTTGAAGATGTCGCTCCGTGTGGCAGAGCCGATCCAATTCAAAGGAGGGAGCCTCTTTGCAATCTGGAAAGGGAAAGCGAGCACCTCTCAATGCTCGGCCTACAGAGGCATACTTGTTAGTTCGTCTCCCGGCAAAGCCTTTCATCGCACTGTGCGGGGACGCTCAGTTGGCCCCCTCCGGGACTTTGGCCATGACATGCAAATAGGAGGATTGCCTAGGTTCCCGGTTGTCATGGCATCGCACTTTGTAAGGCTTTTTCAGGAAGGCAAGCATCGTCGGAGAGAGAGCTACGGCCTCCTCTTTCTGGACCTCCGTGAGGCCTTCTACAGAGTGGTTAGGCCCCTCCTTGTGGGCTCAGCCTGCCAGGATGAGGAACTTGCCAGGGTCGTTCAGGCTGTTAGGCTCCCCCCAGACGTCATGCACGAACTCCACAGGCACCTCAGTGATCGATCTGTCCTCTCGGAGGCGGGTGCCTCGCAATGGACCGAGGCCTGCATTGCGGAGGCATTAGACGGCACATGGTTCAGGTTCCAAGGTGGGGAGCGTGTTGTCCGCACAGGCATCGGATCCCGTCCTGGGGACAATCTGGCAGATGTCTGTTTCTCGTTTATTTTTGCCAAGGTCCTCAAATCTGTCCAGGATGAACTTGGTCTTCAACAAGCCCTGCCTGAAATTCCCTGGTCTCCATTGATGTTGGGTAACCTCTTCCCTGTCGAAACCGCCAAGGTCGACACAATCCACCCCTTGGACTCTACTTGGATGGATGATGCCTCCTTCCTTGTTGAAGCACCCTCTGCCAGGGAGTTGCCTTCTGCCCTGCAAGCTACGGGTAGGGCGGTCGTCGATTCTTGTGTTGCCAGAGCACTCCTTCCCAACCTTGATAAGGGCAAAACGGAATTCGTTGCCAGCCCCGTCGGTCCAGGCTCCAGGGTGATACGAGCTGAGCTCTTTTCAGGTCAGGAGCCCAAGCTCGGTTTGGACTGCCGGCTCTGGCCGACTGCATCTGTCCGTTTGGTGCCCACCTATCAGCACCTTGGGGGTTTCATCCACCATGACGCCTCCCTCTCCCGTGAGTTGAGACACCGGGTCGGCCTTGCTTGGAAGGCCTTCAATGACAGGAAGAAGAAGATTTTCGCTGCTCCGACCGTTAGCCGCCGAGACAAGGTCGTTCTCTTTGAGTCCCTTGTGCTGACCATCCTGTTGTACGGCGCTGGTTCCTGGTGTGACCTCACGAGCCGAGAGCTGGCCATACTGACCACCGCATACCACAGTATGGCTTGCCACATGCTCAGGCCAGAGTTCTCCTATGAAAGGGCCATTCATTTGAGCCGCAGTCGAGTTTTAGCTCTTCTGGGTCTTCCCTCCATTCCGGTGTTGCTCCACACTGCTAGACTGCGACACCTGCTCTCATGCCTTACTACTGCGGTGCCGGTGATGTGGGGCATCATGCACTGGCACGGCCAATGGCTCACATCGGTTCGCGCCTCTGTTGCGTGGCTCTGGGGCCAAACAGACAACGGAGCCAACACCACTTGCTGGCAAGCAGCCTGGGTTACCTGGAAGGACTGGTGTGTACACCATCCACGGCGCTGGAAGGGCCTTATCCGCAGCGCCCAAGCTCAGGCCGTGCGCCAAGAACAGTGGACTTCCTCCGCGGGCCAACACCTTGGACTCCTTTGTCGACAGTTGCAACAGGCAGGCGCCACTCTTCCGACTGACGAGGTGGACTCCTCAGGTCAGCCGCATTTCTGTGCCCCCTGCCAGAAAATTTTCGCGACGTATCAGGCGTGGACTGTACACGCCTTCAAGACTCACGGGCACACTGCCGAATACAGGCAGGTGCAGGCGGGTACCCAATGCCAGGCATGCCTCAAGCACTTCACCACGCATGTCCGGCTATGCCGGCACTTACAACACTTTCCCGCTTGCAGACAACAACTCAGAGAGGCAGGTTACAGGTGTCGAGCCGAGCCGGGTGTTGGCAGCAGGAAGGCCCCGGACGAGGGCAAATTCCAGGCACCCTCCCTTCAGGCTGAGGGGCCCCTGCTCCCATTACGTGGCACAGACTGGCAGGACTTCCTTGATCGCCCTTCTATTGAGGTCTTAGAATGCTTGGGCCATTTCTCTTTCGGTCTCGATGGAGATAGTGCCGACGCCTCTACTGCGTGGAGTAGGGCAAGCATTGCGTTTTCCTCTGTGTGTCTGCCAGTCCGCAAGATTCAGGCTACTGCCAGAGCATGGTTGTCTACTTTAGAAGAGAACCCTCCTGGGGGTGTCTTTTCCGCGACCATTCTGCTAGACATCGCTCGTTGGATTCTGACCGCAAATCTCGCGGAATGGTTGGTCCCCCAGCCTGTCGGCAGCGTAAACCGGACCAACACTTTTCAAGCTGCCCAGGAGGTATTGCCTGCCCTTCGGGTCACTTGCTTGTCGCCGCCTGCCCCAGCACTGACAGGAGATTGGACCGGGGTTCGCGTAGGATCCTCGAAGTGGCTTTCGACTTTCCACCCAGCTCAGGGGTCCTTCATCGACTTTACCCATTCCGAGTGTCTTCAGGTCTTTGCTGAGGGTGGACTTCCCTCCTTCATTGAAGACCATGGCATTGACACCGTCTTTGTGGTCTCTATTGGCGCCCTCCCGACTTGGCAGGATTGTCCACAACCTCCGGTACGCCACAAGGCCTTCAGCCCCTCACTTGCCAAAGCCCTCCTCGCCGGTGACCTGCTGCGTTTCGTCCTCCGCCTTTGGCTCCTGGGCGTTCCTGCAGCTCTTTGCACAGACCGGAAGGATGTGGTTCCGTCGCCAGTCTGTTCCTTACCTTTTCTCCGCTGTGTTGAGAAGAAGGGACTGACAATCTGGATGACCAGGGCTTTTCAGTGGGGACCCATTTTGTTTCACCTTCTTAATTAGTTTTGCAACCACAAGGGCTGCATCCGCTGACGGATTCTACGCCCGAAATGAGCGAAATGAGCGAACTCTGCAAGGAAGGGCTTCGGGGTACGGATTTGCGGATTGGGTTTGCAGAGCATGGGCTCGGACATTCCGCAAGAAACCCAGGCACACCCGCGAAGCCCTTCTATGAAACCAAGAGAACTACACCCTGATACTGCAAACTCCGCACGCCGGATTACAAGCCCCATAGTGAGCCCTGTACCGTCCTCCACATGTTTCGCCAAGGCATGAGCCACTCGCAGAATAAGGCCGTCGCTGGCCCTAGACTTCGACGGCTTGGTGGGGCGTTTGAGATGAAGATAAAAAAAAGTTGATGCAGAGATCAGATAGATAGATAGATAGATAGATCGATAGATAGATCGATAGATAGATCGATAGATAGATAGATAGATAGATAAACAGACAGATACATAGATAGATAGACCGATCCACAGTAAGACGGACAGATCTTAAAATCATATATATATATATTATTTATCTATATATTTATATACATATCTGTATGTATGTATATATATGTACGGTACACACACACACACAAAGACATATGTATTTATATATATATATATACATATGCATAAACAGGTGTGGCTTCGATGTGCAGGGTTCGGGCTTCGTTTGTTTCGCTGCGTTGGCTCTTGGCTTTGGGTTGAGAGCTCGCCGCTTTGGAGCCTTGATGCTTGGGCCTGCAATGAGAGGTTTGGGGCTCGACTGATATCCAAGTACAACACATCGCATACTCTGACCTTTAGAATATAGGCAGGGACTATAGGGGACAAAACTACTACTGATTACTCGGACCTCTACATTACCTGTTTCTCTGTGGAGGTTCCAACAGCAATCGGCGACCTCGTCACGTATACAGCTTGGGGTTTTCTCCGCGCCCTAAACCGTATGTTCGGTGTCGACGCGCAGTCGCGGACATGCCAGGCGAGGTTCTCAGTGCTTAGCCGGCTTGAGGTGAAAGCTAAGCGTGAGATTCTTCAACACACATCACTCACTATTACTGTTGTCAACCGTCCTCAGCTGTTTGTTCATCGAGGCGCCTTAGGGTTGTGAATTAGGGTGTAAGTTAAGGGGTAAGCTCTGGAAATCTTTAGAGATCTTTAGAGTTTAGGTGGAATAGGACTTTGAGTTTGAGGTTGAGGGCTGTAGAGGCCTTAGGGCTTAGAATCAGTTTAGCGCGAGTCCCAGGCTGGTTTGGCGCAGGCACTTCCACTGTCAACAAAGCACTTGGGGGCTCTCGGGGAGGAGTTGTGGCTTTCAAAAAAGCCTGGCAAATCCTAGCAGCTCTGGCAAAACCAAGGCACCACAAGCACCCCCTTCCACCTTCAGCAGTTTCCCCCAAAGTCACAACCCTTCTCCAACCTCCACACCCCCACAAGAGGCCGGGAACCCAGAACCCTGAAGCCCTACTCCCCAGAACAACACAACCCCCGAGAGGCCCTGGGCCCAAGCCTCACTTCCCGACCCGCCGTTTGCCCGGCCTGTCGCTCTGCGCAGCCCGGCGGATCAGGGCCGCTGTGGCCCAAGACCTGGTCAGCTGGGCTAGGCTGTAATATACTACGGTATACTATGATGTACTATAATATACTATAATAAACTATAATATACTCTAATAAACTATAATACACTATAATACACTATCTGTCATGTGAAGTTCGGGCTTTGTGCCACCCGCCCAGCTGACCAAGTCGCAACATGCTGAAAACCGTGCTTCGGCGTTTTGGGTTTTGGAGGGTCGCAGACCACATGTAAAGTTACAACCACATGTCTTGTCTAGTTTCACGGAGCTGTCGTATAGCGACGAAGCTATGACCCGCTGTTGACATACGTTGATCAAACTCAAGCCCCGCTGTCATAGTGGCCCCAAAGTTTATTTGTAAAAAACTTAGAGGAAAGGCAAGAGCCCTCTCGAACCGTTTTGGAAGCTCGAAGCTGCTTCATGCCAGGCACTCGGACTCCAAAACATCGATCCTGGAACTCCGAACGTCAAGCAAGTCCCAATTTTGGAGTGCAGAGTTGGTTTGGGGGTCTGCAAGTTAACGCGCATGCTTGCTCTTCCGGTCATTCTCATGGTGGTGACTCCGACGCGAGCTGCTCGTTGATCTTGTCCCTGTATGTTTCTTACGGATGCTCCTCCAACATCTACTGGCAAAGAGCATGTCTGGATAATGTCGTTATTGTTAGCTCGCTCGCTACATCGCCTGGCTTTAGTACTGCTTACACCATGGGTTTAGCGTGCGGATTTAGGGTACCGCCGGCCAATGCCTGTTCGCTTTGGCGACGTCCAGGGCAGTCTGGCCACGCGCGTTGCGCACAAAGGGATCGGCTTTGGCAACAAGCAGAACCTGCCACAATCCATGGATTCCGCGAGTCGTTGTAGAAGTGTGGGCATGATAGGGTACAAAATGTATGTTCGATTGCTGCTGATGTTTCTCTGATTATGTTTCTGTTGTTGCTGCTGTCACCAATGCTGTTGCTGTTGCTGCTTCTATTGTTGTGGTTGTTATTGCGCTGGCTAGCACTGCGATGGCTTGCGTTCTGCGGCTGCTTCATCTTCCCAATTCCGTGGGATGGAAGAGCATCTGCATTTGTCTGGGAACATCGAGTGGCGACAACGAGTATGATGGGGAACCCAGGCCACAATGTGTCACAGTAACCATCATTTCGAAGCGTGCTTCTCTGGATCCTCTGGTCGTCCTTCAAAGCATGACATGCTCCTTCTCTCCCTCGCAAGAGCAACGGAAAGCCCAAAGGCAGGCAGAATCGAACAAGACTCTTCCGAATCAAGCTCGCACCTGCAAACCGAAGCCCTCATGATGATGATGCCAAGCATCACCTATCATAGTGAGTGTACGGCTCGCCGTTCTCATACTCATCGTGACCAGAAACACACAGTAACTCAAAAACAAGCCAGGGACCTACGTAGAATCGCAGTGACAAACCACTGAGTTCCTTCTCTTCTGCTCTTGGCCTGGGCGGCAGCGCGGCAATTGTGCCGCCCAGCGGCATGCAGAGGCCAGGTCTCGCGGGGAAAGGCTTCAGGCTCATGGGGGGCGGCACTCACGTTGGGATGTGAATAAGCGTCACGAAGTGAGTCGCTTCAAGCACTGACGACGAACGTCAGTGCTTGAAAATCCCAGAGCCCGGCCGTCAGCATGAAAGGTGCTGCAACCCGACAGCTCTGCTCGCCTCCCTGGAGGGCGTCAGCGGCTCAGAGGGTGCGAGCCCTGCTTTCAGCAGCGCCTAGCATCAAGGACACCAGTCCAAGAACCGGGTGAACCCGATCCATCCAAATCCGAATCTGGTACAACCTACCACAGAGACAACGCAAGAACCGCTGAGTTGAAGCACCTGGTAAGTAATATAGGGGCCTGAAAAATTACCTATCCTTTTTTTTGTATTTTGGGCCCCGAAACCCTATTCTAATTATTAAGGCTCCTAATATAGAGCCATGTTATAGATCTTACTGTACAGAACACTTTAAGGATCCCTTTGAAGGAACCCTATTCGAATTCTTCAGGCCCCCATTTTGTGCCCTCAGAATGGCGGCCCGTAGGTTTCTGCCTGGAGAGCACTGAGGCACTGGACCCAGGGCACGCAGTTCTTGAGGATGCCCAGGTAGAGTCCTTCAAAGGGGGTTTGGGGTTTAGGGATTAGGGTTTAGGGAGGATGCCCAAGTAGAGTCCTTCAAAGGGGGTTTCGGCGCTCACACTCCGACAATCCTCGAATTATCAAAGAGGGTTTGGGAGGGCTCTAGACCGTTGTGAATGGTTCAAGGAGGCTCCGGCTCAGGAATCTTACAGGGTCTAGGGTTGCGAGCGCCTGCGAATGCTTGCGTCTGTGGTCTCGGCACGTCGCCGCCCTGGGCGCAGGCGGCCACGAAATCTCCCAGGAGCCCACGCTCTGCCAGGACTGCGCTGACCTGGGACTTCCCGCGCTCCGGGAAGCAGCTCAAATTTTGGGTTTGGGGTTTAGGGTTGCCAAGGGCTTAGGGTTTAGAGTTTGTGGTTTGTGGTTTAAGATTTAGGGTTTTGGTACACTTTTCGATGCAGAATCATGACGGCTGTGATTTCAAGGTGCAGGCTCGAAACCCTGAATCTCAAACAGGAACCCTGGATTGCGGTTTAGGCTGGGCATGAAGTGTTATCAGTTATCAGTGACACATTGCAGCCTTACATGTTCTCAACACGGCTAGGGCTATTCCTGAACCCCCCAACGCTAAACTGCTGTCTGAAATTACGGTGCTCAGAGTTTCACCTTTCATGCTCTCACAACTCAGTACAGATGAAGTCTCTTGATCCGTAGCCTTGCGTGGTGTACTGCAGCATGCGGTCCCCACTCTAAGCTTCAACCCGAAGCCTTGGTTGCCGCACTTGGGTAGTTAGACTGTTTGCACGGCGATGGTGATAGTAGAGGCTACAACTGCTAACACGTGACGACTGCGGCTGTTGTTGCGACCATTACCACCACCATGATCACTGCATCGCCACGAAGTCCACCCCTCAACCTGAGAAGAATCATCTGTGTTCAAGCAGCCAGTGCCATGCGCGGTTGCGCCTGGCAGGGGATTGGCTCCCATTGTTGGAGTACATTATGCTGTAATTTTGTAGGGATTGCACCAGTATACTTTGACTAGTTATTCAGACCCCCCCCTATGTTTGCCCTGGCCCCCGACTCTACCCCCTCCCGCCCCCCCTGCATCCCCAGCGCACCCGCGGGCACATCTGTCGTCTGTTTGGGCCCAGCACCGGCGCGACCGGGCCGAGGCTGACGACGCGAAGCGTTTACAATTACATATGTAGGGCCCTTCAGCTTTTGCGAATAATATTTCAGGCGTTCGTGCGGCTACTGCCGGTGCCCGACGCGGATGGGAGGTTACGGCTTTGGCTTCTTTGGAGGCAGAATCTGGCTGGAAGTTTTTGCGACGCTTTGCATCTCAGTTGTCGTCCGGCCCTTCGGATGAAGTGTCCAGGTGCTGTGAGCTCCACTGTAACGAACTGAACACTGAAGTCATGCTATTCACTACAAGTCCCGGTCCTCGTCGTGTGGGAAGCCTCCGCCAGCCTCGACCTCGCTCTGCCGACACGACCCTTCAAAACAGTCGGAGGTTCTCTCCCACATCAACATGATTAGCTTCGCCTTTGTCTTCATATTTCCTCAGCTTCTTCATGTTTATCACCATGATCACCATCATGAACATAATCACACACATCATCGTCATCGAAATCTCATCACCATCATCATCAGCAGCATTTGGTCACCAGCAGTGCCATCATCATCATCATCATCATCATCATCACCAACCTCATCGTCATCATCATCATCATCACCTTCATCCTCATCCCCATCCCCCTGAGTCTTCTCACCATTCTCATCCTCATCATCTTCATGCTCACAGTCACCGTCAACGCCGTCGTCATCAGCATCATCTTCTGCAGCAGCAGCAGCAGCAGCCCGTCGACCACCTCGGTGCTGGCACTACGATCTACAACCGCACCCCAATCGCTAGGACGATTGCTCATTGTCTGAACGCCGGGATGCCAGGAAGGCCACCAACTCCGACCAGTTCTCACGCTCCAGTAGCAGATGCAGCGGCTGGACCGCCGCATCGCCCTCCTTGGACTCTCTCTCTCTCTCTCTCTCGGATGCTCCTCGGCCGATTTTATCTCTGTCGTGTTTCAGGGCCTTGCTTCCTGAGAAGCTGCGCGGTGCCACGCTGCTGGGAGACGGGTTCTATGTGTTTCGTCGCTCACACAGGCGATTTTGGACAGCAGGGAGTAGGCGGCCTATCATACGTGGAGCCCCGGCCCTCCACTTGACACGATGGGACATCTCCTGTCAAACCAGCTCTAACCGGAATCTTCCAGAAACGAAAGAGAGGCCCACGTCAAGTGCAGCACGGCGACCCAAACAGCTCTATTAGGCGTTAAAGGCTTCATTACCACGGGATCATTCATCACGACCATCACATTCACAATAACCCTTAAGCTCTTAGCAATAACCCTTAAGCTCTTAGCCCTGGGATTAAAACTCCTTGAATCGAAACCCTATAAGCCTATCCTTGAAAACCTCAGAAGTTAGAAGTTAAAGACGAGTCCAGGCTTCCCAGTGGTCATCCTGTGGAAGGAGCAGGCACTGCGCCAGAAGCGAGCGCCGTTTGTGGGCCTCCTGGCCTACAACCTCCAGCAGATTGCACCTGTACGGTTTTTTTGTTTATCACCTCTTTCCTTCGCCTGATAAGGAGTCCGGAATACCATGTTGGTTGAGGCAGGGGAACAGGAGCCCTGTACGGTTTAGGGCTTAGGGTTTAGACGTTTACAATCATAACAATGACAAGAAGCCTGGCCCTAAGCTGCTAAGGGTGTGTTCTGACATCCACATCGAACCATGAAGTGTTTCTTCCTAGGTGCTGCCCTGGGCCAGAATTTTTTCAAGAGCTGCCTAAACTGAAACCGCTTCGACGCTACGAGTCGTTGCTCCAAACTCCCACGCAACAGTTAGGCATGAGAGACCACCTAATGATGCAAGGGCCTGGGTGGTTAGAATATTGAGCCATCACCAAGGAATCAGGTCGAACAGATAGGGTACTGTAAGAAGAACATGGCAAGTTTAGTGTTTGGATGCTTTTTTGGTTCAGCAAAAATCCTGCGAGAAGCTCGGCCGCACGCAGTGCCCCTCGCGAAGTAAGAAATTGAAACTACAACTCGCAAGAGCCGACAAAACTTGCATGCCAAGCGCAGGAGTTTCTTGCTGTCTTTCTCGCTGAAGGGCGCAGGAGGGGCCACACACCTCGACAACGAAAGCACACGGATACACTGCACACGGCTGTTGTGGGAAACTTGTCAATGTTTTTGACTTCCCCGGCACAAGTCACAATGCTCTCGAGTGGCATCACAGTGTCTCGAAGGATTCATGATGCCAAAACATGCTACAAAATGTGACTACTGCGGCTTGCAGTGCAGCCATGCCGCAACACCATCGGCAGCGTCCAACCTTCCACGTCTTCCGTGAGAGCCTGGAAAGCCCTCTTGTGCTTGAACTCGAGCCCTCGACTTCGCAAGTTGATAGCCCAAAACCCCTGCCCAAACCCGAAAACTTAAGACCCTAACCTCGACCGAAATACCGGCAACAACAACCGTCAGGTTGTAATAGACTTCTGCGCAGTCGGTTGGGGGTGAAACTGAACTTATTTTTAAATCTGGACGACAGTAAAGTTATAGTGCGAGATCAACCATCTCCGAATAGCAACCTTCTGGCGACGTTGGACAGGACACAGATTAGGGTAGGCCACCTGGCGGGACTAACACTGGCTCCTACAGTGAACCTACGTCGTGGTTTGCCGACTCAGAAGGCACGGGTGAAACACAGCATCAATTAAGACTAAAAAGTATCAAACATCACACTAGAGAGAGAGGCCCAGGGCAATGTGCAAGCAAATTCCACCAACAAAAAGCAACCGATAATGCAAGCGTAAAACGCCACGCCTATCCCGAGAAAAATCTTGCATACTACTCTGCCAGCATGTAATTAGTTTATTCGGAAGGCCAGACCTAGTGAAAGTATGACCCAGGGCGGAATAGTTATCAAGCAGGCTACAGTCTCCATTTTATGAAATAAGGCTATGAAGCCAGCTTGCATGCATTCAAGTATCGCTTCCCAACTACGTGTATCTATTTCATTTTTCTCTCAATAACACTTGTTGGCATGGTTCGGCCACAGCTCGCAATTTTCCGCGAGCTGCACAATCTCTATGCAAAATTTTGATGTAGCGTAATCGAGTAGCATACTCGACCATTGCTAGTGTTTTTCCTGCTGTGCTGGACGATTTTTTTACTGCGGCTCCTTCCTTTATGCTGAGCTAGCTTCTGTTTAATGTTCTCTGCAGGCCGGGCGGGAGGGTGCCTAGTTATGCTGTCCTTGCGCGAACCTAGCCTTATGTCTGCTGCAGGGTGATGGTGAGCGTGCCGAGAGGAACTGGTTGCATGTCATGTGGTTGAGAGCGGGCCGCGTAGTGGCGTAGTATACGACATATTGCAGCAGTAGACTAGCAGTTGTTGTGGTCGTTGTTATCTTTGTATACCCCGGTTTGTCGCCCCGCATACCCCGTCCTGTCCCTGTCTCCCATCCCCTTTCCCTGTCCAGACTTCCGCCGTTCCACCCATCCAGGCGGGCACGGGGCTCAAGAGCCATCCTTCCTACCCACCCATCCAAACCCGCCAGCCCCCAGCTCCCGCACTCCACCCATCCAAAGCCAGACTCCAAATCCGCGGGCCCTCCAGAGCCACATTCCATCCCAACCCGCCGTGTTCCACCCTTCCCACAGGCCTTCTCCTGTGGCCACACCACCACAGCAAAACTTTGACAAAGATGCGCGGCGATCCTGATCCGGGATGCTGCACGCAGCTTCGTGTAGGCAATGGCCGCCTCGTCGGCCGAAGCCTGTAACCCCATTTTGCCGGTGCGCACAGTGCCGATCCACACATAGCCCTCCGCCGAAATGGCTTTGTTGGCGGTCTCGGCGACCGGCTACCGGCTTCCGGAACGCGTTGAATGCGCGGGGCTGCAGACGAAATTCTTCGGCAGAATAGCGCGGCCCACCCCGAGCTTCAAGATCTCGTTCTCGTGAAGCAAGCCGGCACCGATGGCAAGGGCCTATGGAGCGTGTGCACAGAGCACACAGGTGCTGCTGACCTCTCGCATCACGTCCGCCTTGTCCTCCTAGGGACGGACGGCGTCTCAGCAAGCGCATTGAGGCAATCGGTCCAGCGAAAGTATACAGGCGGCAATGCCGGAAATTGAGCCAAACACTTGAGCCATGTTTTGGACTGGGGTGGTTCGGTTGGAAAGGCTGCACATTGGCCACGGCGGGTCGGAGAGTTCATCTGCCAGTCTGCCTCGACCTCCAAATCTCATATGGCCACCCTACCGGCATACCGAACAAGCTTTAGACTCTCGCAACTCGGGCAATGCAGGCGAGGTTGGTCCATGTTACGGTAAAAGGCCCTGGACCGCACAACCACGCAGAAAACGTCCGACCACAACGCCGCTCGACTAAATCGTCATTAGATTCCAACTAGACTCTAGACAAGTATCTTTGTTGTTCAACCACTGCTATAGAACAAGTCTTGGGGTCAGCTGCGACTATGAACTTGACCAGCATGCCCTGCGATTTGAACCTGTCACTGCAGAATTACGCTCAAAGCCGTAGTGGAAATTTCTGGTGCTATTCGCAGGCCCTCATGTGGATTTTATGACTACACCATTGCTACAGATAGCTTTGACGCTATAAGAGTTTTCACCGTCTGTATTCGATGCCCTTCATGCCTGTGGCTGGCTGCTGATCTCTCGAAGAAGAAGCTGCCAGACCGCATGGGCCTTTGTGGACTGTTGGGTCGAGAATTCACTCACAAGTGCTGGACTCGGAGCAACCTCACGGGGGACATGAAGCAACTCACGCCCGGTTTTTTGCAGGTTCAGTCTTGCGGAAACTATGGATAACTATGGAGTGTAGACTGATGCGGAGCAAGGAAATTATGTTGAGCCAAAGAGCTCCAGAGTAGGCAGCCGTGAAGAGCAACGGAAATCCTCAATGGCGACGACATGTGTGTGCTCCTCCCCTTGTGACTGATACCCGCTTTTGCGCGGCCCATGAGCGTGGCTATCGCAGACCAGGCTGAGACGAACTCGGAAACTCCTCCAGGCGTTCGACGGCCAGTAAAATTGCAAATAGATATAAAAAATAAGAACGCAGGGGCCTCCCTCCCGTTTCAGGCTAGTCCGAAGCAAGTCGCGATAGCAGCCTGTTGCAAGCTTCTGCTGGAGCTCCATGGAAATGACGGACGGATTTGGCTCAGCCCAGAGGCTGTTGGCTTTGACCTCACCCATCACGTCACAGGCTAACGCATGCCCTCATGCCGCGCCCACTCCAATTTACACCCCATCATGCGCACACGGCTATGCCTATGCTCCAGCTGGGGGGCTAAAGCGGACAGCGCAGCAGCATCTCCATCTCGCACGGCCTTGCCAACCTGTCCGGGCTTCAGGTCCACAAGTGAAAGTCCGAGAAACGGAGGAAGAGCAGAGTGAACTCCACTCTACACCCTGAGAGCAGCCCTTCTGACACTAATATCTTGTGTGCCAGGTGCTTCATGGTGAACAACTGACAAGAAGATACAGGAAGTGCTTCTCAAGACCCTGGAATCCTTTCACCATGCATACCTCCACAACCTCCTCATTAAGCCCTCACCTGGGCCAGCACGACATTGTCATTCAAAGCAGATCCAGCCGGTGGCCCTGGCTGACACCTTAATGGCTACACGACACCCGCACCAGATCCCAAACCAGCTGGCAGCCAAAACGAGCTCTCGCACACTGTTATGCTTGCATGGGCTCGGGCTTCGCTGCTCCATGTCCACAGATTCTATGGCGAAGAATCTTCCGCAAGGATTCGGTATACTATTTTGGGGGCTCCTTAGTAGAATTGTAGTAAGTAGTATAATGGGCCCCAAAACCCTATTCTAATTATTGGGCAGCTGGTGGGATGCCGAAGCGCCGTAGCTCGTCTCTCAGCTGCTCCCGGTGGCTCTTGCGGCCTCGCAGTGGGCCTTGGAGCACCCGCGCCCGGCTCTGCCAGGGCGGCGGCTCCCCGAACTTTGCGGGGGGTGGTTTCGGCACCAGCGCCGGAGGCTTGGCCGGCGCCTTCAAGGGGTTCCCGGCTTCCGCTGCACCACCCCCAGTCTTTTGCCAGCCGCGCCTCCGTTTCCGGCAGCCGGCAAGTCACGGCTTCCGGGCGTGAGAAGGGTCGGTGGTCGGCGCAGTAGCGGCCCTGGGTTTGAGAGACGTGCCTGGGCCGGGAGGAAACGGGAAGAGGCTTAGGGAGCTGCCTCGATGAGTCGAAAAAACAAGCCGACCTGCTAGCACGTCTTTCTCTGCTTAGCTCTAGTTCTTCAGCGAGAAGACCGAACCATGGCTTCAAGACTCTGTCGCGTCTGGCAAACTACAGAAAACCATCTCCTTCTCCCGAACCAGAGCCATACTCGTCTGAAGCACGGAGAATGCTCCCAAGAAGGCTCTGGGATCAAAAAGGAAAGAAGCACGACCATTATTTCATGCTGCAATAATATAGTCGTGGAGTCATGGCCATAATTAAATCAAATCATCCTGGAGACCCCAATTCCTCCCAAAAAAAACTGGACCCGGCCAGGGAGCCCCAAGGCACCTCCCCCGAGGTGCACCAGCTGCACCAGCTCGCTCTCTCCGAGCCCAGATCCCCCTTCCAGGTGGCTCAGGGCACCTGTCGGGAGCCGTACAGCGCTCAGAAGGTTGGCAGGGAGACTCTGAACCGGACTTTGGGGGGCTCGGGGTTGGGGCTTGAGAGCTCCATCCGTGAGCTTGGAGTAGGATCTTGGCCACTGCACTTTCCAGGCGAAGAGGGAGAAGCACCTTGGGTTTTTACTCTGTGTTGCATGGCAACCACAACTGGTTCGTGCCATCGACCTGGCTCATTTGAGATGGTTCAGGCATTCCGTTTGGGACGCAGGTTCGAAACTGAGGTAAGCCGGATGTCTACAACCTCAAGACTCAAGCTCCGACCGCCGAACGCCGACATCAAACCCCCTGCGAAAGCCTAGGAACCAGAAGGCGGTCGAGGCTACGTCGATCTGTGGATCCACGCAAAGAAGTTAAGCTACTTAGCCAGCTCAAAGTCAGCATTGGCCATGTGATAGTAATTGTAGGGTCTTAAAACCTGTAGTTATAACAACCTGTAGTTATAACAACCCTTAAACAGCTAGAAAGCCCCTAAACCCTACATCCCCGAAACCCGCGGCCTCGCTCCACAGGCATCGGGGCGTGAGTGCCTTGCGCTTTGCGGCCGGCCAGGCGGCGAAAGAGCTTCCCCGCCTCCATCTCGTTTTGCTTTTCTTAGGGCTTCCTAACTTGGGCGTTCTTTGGGTCGAGATCAAGGCTAGCCAGTTTCTGAAACTCCGAAAGCTAGGGTTTCGTTAGGCTTCGGAGCCTTGGGTTTTGGCTTCGGGTTTAGGGCTCGTGGCTGGAGATGTACAGTCCGGCTCGGCAGCGCAATTCGCAGCCCGCAGTGCGCAATTGGGGTTTAGAGGGCAACGGAAAAGTGCTGATCAATCCAAGAAAAAATCTACAAAACCACTCACCCCACGTGCAGGTGCCTCTTGGACATCCAACAAGCCGTCACCATTGGCATCAAAGGCTGTCAGAAGCTCGGCAGCGATGCCCTTCAGCTTCGCTAGGTAGCGGCCGTGCTCTTCTGCACCTCACTCACAACAACCGCGGTGAAAAGTGCTGAGGTCTTTTGGTGGCCCGGTTGCATTTTCACATGGCTCTGTCTTGCTGCACACTGGTTCATATGGTCAAGATATACTTGATGCTACAAACTGTCATATACATGTTGGCTTAGACTTCTGTGCATAGTAAGCCACATGCCTATGGACCTTTCACATGACATATGGCGATTTTGTCTACAATTTGGTCACCCACCTGTCACGCCTGTGACAGCTCCGCTTCACAAAACTTTGTCTGCATTAGCAATGATTCGTTCTTGTTCTTGTCAGCATGTCAATGTCTGAAGGTGTATCTGTGTGCCGGTGCTAATGTGTGCATGTATGCATGTCTGCATGCGTGCATGTATGCATGTATGCATGTATGCATGTATGCATGCATGCGTGTATGTATGTACGTATGTATGCACGTCACCATATATGCCTGCACGTGCGCATGCAAGGGGCCCCAACATCCTTTCTCGATGCCGAGAACCCTTCAACGCCAAACTACTCGAGACCGTCAACCCATCAGCCCTAACCTTAAATCCTACGCCCCAAAAGGCCTTCCGTACTCCCTTGCCGAATGGAGTGCTGGGATGGCCCCACACTGGTCCTTGGACCCCTAAAGCACGTACCTGTTGCATAAACGCCCCAATTATACTTGCAGCAGGCCTGGGTCCTTGGGCCGTACCGTCCGGGCCCTTCCCGTCGGCTTCTCGGCCGATTGGTTCCGGCCTTGGCTGAGGCATCCAAGGGTTCCAAAGAGGCTTTCGACTACGAACTAAAAGGGCTCAGGGCCTTGAAATAAAGACCAGGGCTGTTGCGGGTTCATGGCCTCGTGCAGTGCTAGGCGAGTAGACCCCGCTGCAGCGGGTACGAAGGCTCGGAAGGCGGAAAACATGAAATTTCAGTGTGGCGGAAACGCCTGCCAAAGACATAACTACACGATCAAGGACACTTCGGCAACGAGAAAAAGAACATCTTGCCTGTGGGGTTATTTTCGGTGTGAGGACCCAAGCAATGCGAGATCCATGAAGAGATGTCAAAACAGCAAAGGTGTGTAGGATCCCGCGTCAAATTACCTGATTCCCGCTGCTCTCTGGACCTCTGGGTGATGACAGGCAACCAGACCGGGAGTAGAAAAGAATCGGCACTCTCGCGGCTGCCGTTCAACTATGTTCATTTGTTCATGGGCTGAGGCTCTGAAACTTGAACCCTGCCGCGATTCACCCGGCCTTGCTGGCGTTGCAGATGCTTCCCTGCTTTCACTGCGGCGAGGTCCAGGCGCACACGCTGCAGGTCCTCGCGACGGGCGCTAGAATCTACAAGCAAGAGGTTCGCGGGCACAGCCACGGAAGAGACAGAGAGAGAGAGAGAGGAAGGGAGAGCGAGAGAGAGAGAGAGAGAGCTGCCGATCCGAGATTTTGGGGGAGTTCCACTGTTATTTTGAAGCGATATATTGGATTCGTGTGTCCCATTGCTGCCCCATCTCTACCTCAGGACCGAACCTAACAGCTGCAGCTGTTAACGCAGTGGTTAGGTGTTTGGAGATACTTTTTTACGAGCAACCAAGTATGTGGGTAGTTTTCTAAATCGGGGTCCCCTTTGGGGTCATTTCATAAGGGTGCCGTATTATATTGGGACTTAAAAGGGGACCCTAATTTAGAGAACTACCCAAACGGATCCTTGAAAAATCCATCTCCAGAACTCTCGACCCTCCTCTGAGATCTTGTCCACTGACACGTCGGAGAGGTCGCCTGGCTGCGGGCGCACGGTTGTTGCTGAGAACTTCAGATGGCCAGGCATCATCAGAAGGCATTCAAGACCAGTACACTGCAAAAGCTGCTCACCTGCGGCGTCGAGTCTGGCGCGATAGCATCCACGCGCTGGCATCGGTACTTGAAAGCCCTATTCTTCTGCCCGGTTCATTCGTGCAAAGGGGTCCCACAGAAAAAAGGCTGAACACAACCTTCCGCCACAGGAGCAAAGAAGAGGAGCTTCACAGCTCCGGAGAGCTTAGTACCAGTTAACCAGCAAAAAAACAAATTCAAGCCGCGCACTGGCCAATGCGCTACGAGCATGAAGGCAGGCAGTCTGGTGCCAAGAGGCTCTGCCATTGTTCAACGATGCGGGGTGCGAATCAGGTTTAGGGCGCGGAACCACAGAGCTCTGTGCGAAGACAGGCGGTGGAGGCTGCAGGCTTCCACGGTACTGCATTAAAGCATTCAAGCTGTGAGAGTCCCAATGCCCAGCAAGAAGGGTAATCTCAATATCACGCAGACGCGGGTTCACCTTGAAGCCATGCCCTCTGGCTAGAACCCACTAGCCGCTTTGGCAATCTAGTTACTGGGCCCATCCCCCAAAGCCCAAAGCCACGGCCCATCTTGCGTGCCAAGGGGCGCGTACATGGCGGACAGGATTCCAGCAGCGCCTTCCGGGTTCGCCGACCAAAGGCCCGCCTGCAAGATCGGGGCTTTTTCGCCTCCCGCATCGCTAGGGCATAACCGGCTTTCGACTCACACACTCGCAACTGCAGGCATGGCAATAAGCGTCCGAGATTGCTACGTGGACATGCTGAGCTTCCGAAGCAGAGAGCCACGTGACGACGGCTTTAGGGTTTTGTTCCCTCCTACTTTGGCTGTTTTCCCACCCGCTTCGCTGACAATGCCGCACTTCAGGGAACTAAGCTTCGAGAGTGTCGTTACGTGGGGCAAAGTCCAGGGATCGAACAACCTCTTCGTTCAGAGACCGAGTAGGCTAGTTAGGAGAGGATGCTGATGCCGAACTCGCAGGGCAAAGCGGTCTTCTGAAGGGCCTCATACTAGCCCCAACGAGCCCATAGGGGGTTTAGAGTTTAGGGTTTAACCCCATAGCAGGTGATGCTGGGATTCGGGTTTACGCTTGGTGCCCTTCTCGATTATGTCCCGCGTCATCCTACCATGCTAAGCTTCTCTGTATTGCAACCATTTTGTCTCCCTACGCAAGCTTCTTTAAAGACCGGAAGCAGACCTCAGGATCCCCAAAACCCACATCACCCACCCAGCCCTCCCGCCGTATCGAGGGTAGCCGACTATCTGGCCGGCGGATGCTCGCCGCCGAGTTCAGTGACCGGGGCTCCGATGCGGGTCCCAGCCTCGGTCAGGCAAGGCTTCTTGGAAACTTTGGGTCGTGGCTTTGGGGTTTAGGGTTTTAGGGTTTAGGGTTTAGGGTTTTAGGGTTTAGGGTTTTAGGGTTTAGGGTTTAGGGTTTAGGGTTGGAAACTTTGGGGTTTAAGGGTGGAGGTTTTGGGTCGCAGGTCTAGTCTACGTACGGCGTGCATCAAGGTTTCGACTCACAACTTCGCGCAGGGCAGGCATGCTACTTTGGCATCCGAATCGTAAATGCCCGCCGTGCCCTGCTAGCTCCAGCGCCCACGAACGTGGGGGCACTGTGCCCCACGTTTCTGTAGCGAATTCACCTGTTTCAACATATTCGCTCTGAAGGCTTCTAGCTGCTCATACTCCATCGACAGTGTTAGTCACCACCGAGCAGCGGCGGGCATGCAGTCGTATTCTGTCCGATATACCCACCAAACTCAGAAAAAGCGGTTGGGGCCAAAACTCAGGACAAGCTGTGGGTCATGCAGTCGTATCAAGGTTTCGACTCTCGCTCTCGCACGAGGCAGGCAAGGCTCCGCATCAAGGTTTAGAGTTTATGCTTGTTGAAGTATTTCTGTTGCCTGGCATGAAAATCAAACCGGGCTGGAGGTTTGGAGAAATTACCAGACGGCTGAATGTACCAGAAAGACGTCTTTAGCATGCGGAGCATTCAGCATGCGCTGAGGCTAAGCATAAAGGCATACAGACAGCCACCGATGAATCTTTGAAGAAGCCTTAAACTTAGTGGAACCACCCAGTGCACATCAGAAAGCCTAGATGCCTTGGGGTACTGGCTCCAAACTCCGCATCGAGAACCAGCGAGGAGAGGGTATCTTGGCCAAGCTTGCCTGGAGCCGTAAGCTCTTTGCTCAAGGGGGGGGGGGGGGGGCTCTGAAAGGGCGTTGTGGGTTGCCAGGCAAGGATAAGGCGGATAAGGGTTGCTCCCCTAAGGGCTCTGTGGGGATCTGTCAGGAGCACGGGCACTGAAAGAAAAGCAGCTTCGATGCCTGAACCTGGAGCAGTCCTGGTGATGTTCCAGGACACTTCTCGAACTAGACAAAGAACATCCACTTCAAAGCCATCTGATAAACTCCACAAACCGGCTCGTCGCAGTACAGTGAGAAGCAGGGAAGGCTGCGATGCGAAGTTGGGGCGAGGAAGCTCGTACAAGGATTCCACCCCTCATTAAGCGACAGGAATGGACCCCCTCCTCGACGGCAGTCATTGGCCCTTTGCCTCAACGCTCCGCGAAATAACAAATCCCTCTCCGAACAAGCTTCACCAACCTCACCATTTATCATAGGTTACGAAAGCCCCTGTTTTGCATCCCAAAGGCGCAGCTCCAGCTGCCCCAAAGCGGGTTCGGCAGCCAGGCCTCCATGAAGCAACGATGACATCGTGCAAGCGAACAGGGCAGCCGACCACGAACTCGCATAGTTTCAATTTTAGGCCTTCGGCCAAGGAGAGACTGAGAGCTCTTCAATCCAAGATCCTTTTCCTTCCCCCTCCGAGGCCTTCGAACCAGGTGCTCAGCGCCCCCTTGCAGTCGACCGATTGGGGCTTCGGGTGCGACGGGACTGTTGCGGGGAACTTGCAGCCTACTCTGCAGTCGCACCCTAGACCCTGCATTCCGAACGGCCTGTACCCCGAGCACTGCTCCCGATGGCTTCAACCCTCGATATGTGAGTTGCACCCTGCCTCCCGCACGGCACCAGTCATGAGACATACATCAGCTGGCAGGGTTCATGGGTCACCATGAGCCGCCCGGGCCGCGATTGAAAGCGCGGGAATCCGTGAGAGGCTCGGGGGTTCAGCTTCAGTGCCTGATGAGGACTCAGCCGTCCTATGAAAGTACTTCTACTCCAGGTGCTGTGGCGCCGAAGCGAGCCGAGAACCAATCGCCTTGCCGAAGGGTGCGTGGAAACTGACAGACCATGACCGGCACGTGAGATGAGTTGAGGTGACATGATGCAAAAGTCAGGACCCAAGAAGACTTGTGAGCAACATCCGGCTGACGGCATATTTTGCTTGATGATTTTTGCTCTACATGCTGGATCAAGCTCGCACGGCCGTGAAGCACATCCACAGAGTGACTGCAGTGCAAGCTCGGGCGGAGCTTTCTCTGTAGTTTCGTGGTTCTGATGCTTCAAGGCTGCATAAGGGATTTGTTTACAGGTTTTTATATGGGCTTTAGAAACTTTGGAAAGTTGTATAAGGGGTTGCCAACCTTTGCCGTGGAATCATGTTCGTGGCTGTGCCAAACGCATCTACGCGGGCGGCCTGATCGAATCTTGTACAAGCTGTGGTCAGAACTCTGTCTGAACCAGAAAGCAGACGGCGTGCCTACGACCGTTAACAGAGGGGCCTGAATGATCAGCAATACACTTCTCTCCATCATCCATATATGACTTGGAGCATACAACACCACAAACTCTCCTCTCCTTTCCATTTACCCCCCCCCCTAAACCCGACTCTCCACTCTTCAGGTCCCTATATAAGCACAGAGGAGCCCCGTCTCACACGGGCTCCGACAAGAATACTCTCCAGGCCTTAAGCCTGAAAGATTTGGCCCAGCAACTACACAAACAGTTGCCTTGCAAGAGCAAGCAAGCAGGGGGAGGGGGGGGGCGCGGGGGGGGCTTCACCACTAGTAGCAACAGTGCTTGCGGAGCATCCGACACTATTCTTGCCAAATTACCTAAACCCTAAACCCTAAACCCTTGGGCCAAATTGTTCGGGGATCTTCTGGACCGGGTGTCTGCCCTGCGCCTGAGGGAAGGACAGTGGGCTCCACACCGAAGAAGGCTGCTTTGCATCCCAGCTCGGCATGGCCCTACAAATCTGACACATGGTTGGCCAGAACAAAACATTTACCACATCCAGGATCTGGAGGGAGTCGTAAACAAATGCCTACACGCAGCGACTTCTACTCCTTAAAGCTGATTAGAATCAGTAGCCACTTCTGAAACGTCTTTGGGCTTTTCAGGCCTTGCAGCTTTGAAGAAGCTCGTAGTGCCAGCCTCTTCAAAAGTCTCTACTCGACTTGGGCTGGTTCGACCTTCAAGGTCTGCAGCCTTCAAGAGATCCTCTTGGCACGGCTAAAGCCTAGAAACCAACCCAACTCCTCCCAAAAAAAACGTTCTGACGTTGAACTCCTTGAGAGGTTGCGACACGTGTTAATAATAACTGAAAGCCGGTAACATGAGCAAGTCACCCCTTAGCTCGAAACACTGAGGCCCTGAACTCCTCCCTCGTAGACTCAGACTTTAGCTTTAGCCCAAAAGTTTTAACACAGGGATGGCTGATCTCATTCTCAATGTTTGGGCAAAACCTTCGCAAGTCACGGCCGACGGGAGGATACCAAGAAGGGCAGCTTGATATCGCGCAAAGTAGGCCTCGGGGTTGGCTCCTGGCTCACGTGGGCGAAAAGGTGGGGTCAGGCGAAAGTGATGTGGACGCGGAAAACGCCCTCTGGTCCTCCTCACTGACAGCAAGCCATGGCATCCAGACCCTTTTGCGCCCCGAGCTCCGAAACCCCAAGCCCTCATCATCCCCAAGCTCCTTCGGAATGAGGGGCGTCGGTGATGCGTCGCGACGGGGAAGCGCAGGCGACTTCGGGGCCTGTCTCTAGCACAGTAGCACCACATGTTCCAGCATACGAGAATGTGCATACACGTGTGTGTGTGTGTGTGTGCATGCATGTGTGTCCGTACTTACGTATGTACGTATGCATGTACGAAAGTATGTCTATCATATTGTCTATGCCTGCATGTCTGCCTGTCCTTAGTGTGTATATGTATGTGCGTTTTTATGTATGCATGCATACATGTATGTATGTGTGTTTGGGTGATCACGTGTGTATCAGAGAGCCGCACCCGATCACTTGAAATTGTGTACGAGATTGCTCGTGACTCAAAAGATCAGATACCAGCGCGTGGCAATCGCATGACAATGGGGATGGACGCTCAATAACAGACACTAGTCGTCTTTCATAGCATGCAAATATGTCGATATAGTCTGTTGGAGCCGTGCTCAGGCCAAGACCATGGGACCACGTCAGGGTAAAACCGATGGGCTTAGCATAACGCCGTATGCTCGACTTGCATAGTCAAATTTGCCCTAAGTATGCTGTATAGAATATCCGGCAAGATCATAAAATCGCCCGCTGCTGCGAACTGCCTCTGTGCCGCTGACGACGAACAAGGACAGCTCCTCTGTGCCCGCTGCAGGAGCCCAGTCCTCCGATGACGACGACGGTAATGACGACGGTAGCAGTAATTGCAATGGGACCACGGCGAGCGAACTTGTCTTGCCAACTAGGGCTTACAGTAAGCTGAGATAAAGGTTTTGTCAGACGCCGGAACCTTTACATACATGCATATATGTATATACGCATATACATCATACTCTATCTACTATATTTACTACCTCTGTCATATGGATCTACGCTAGATGTGCTACAATATTGAATCCTCACTACTTCAGACTTATACATGTCTGAGCCGAACCGAAGCTCCTGTTTACCTTTCTCAAGAGGCTCCTTTCTGAGGGGGTCGCACTGTGCTCTTAGGGATAGGTGTCCGTGGCCCGAGCTGCTCGGAGTCTGAAGCCGCAGTCTCTGAAAGCTCCAAACAAATCATGACCATCATCATGATCCTCGTGCCGAGGCACAGCAATGCTCTTCTTCGGCACCCAGCCCTGTAGGCCACTGCCCTCGTGCGAGACGCAGAAGAAGTCCTTGGCCGCGTCCACGCCTGGGGGGTCAAGCTCGACTCTCTTGCCTGCTTGCTTGCTTGGGGTTTGGAGGCCAAAGCCTCCTAGCCCGAAGGCCTACCTTTTGGCATGGTTTTTCGAGTGCTTGCTGAGGTTTCTGCACTCCTCCTGGAGGTTTGCAGTTTCGGGTTAAGGGCTTCATGCGATGTGGACAATTTGGACAACGCACCCTCTGACAAATTGCTAAAGACTCCTTTGCTTCCTGTCATCACCCGGTTATCACATTCAGGGCTCTTCCGAGGATCCATTTTGCCAAAAACATTCTGTCAGCAACCACATACAGGCTTGTTGGGCTCATTGCCTGGGGTCCAAGGACAACCGGTCTGTGGGCATGAACGTGTTCAAGCGTTCAGAAGGGTCCAATCATCATAGCCTCGGTCACCAACCCGAACCATCGGCTTCAAAGATGAGGCGAGCAATGAACCATAGAAGGCTGATCTGTGTGCACCGCTAGCTGAAGCTAGCTCATCAAGACAGCTCAGTGGTCCAAGGAGCAGGTCACCCACTCACCAGCCGGAAGTTCGCCGGCAAGTGGGACGTCTCCACTCGGTCGCTGGTAGAGTTTCGCCTGGATCCAGGTTCGAGCAATCGCCCAAAAAATATCAATTTTTCGCTGCTTCGCCACAAGAGCAGCTCAAGGACAGACAGATCCGCTCTCATGTGTTGAAGGCCATGAGGCTCGGCCACGGCTACGACCTTGCCGCATTTCCCGGTTTCCCGTCCTTCGACTCGCCGTCTGCGGGCTTCAATGATCCGCGAGGACGAGGCCCAAGATGGTAGAGCAAAGCCTCGGAAGCATCAGGCGAAGGCACGGCTTTGCCCAGGTGGTCATGTCTCCTGCCATGCAGCACAACCTGTCAAAAAAAAACATGCAAGCCATGGCTGCTTGATTGACTGTTTCCATCATATCTGCCCAATCGCCCACTCTCCTGCACTCCCTCCTCCCCCCTCCCCCGTCCTTCCCAAAAGCAAACCTGGAATCTCGCTGCGAACACATAATAGCGCAAGCACCCCACAATCAAGCTTCGGAGTCTACCAAACCCTGCGCCAGTTCATGCAGGAGGCTGCTCGCAGTCCGATCTCGGCGCACTTGTCCCAGTACTTCAGGTTTCTGACCTCTGGATGGCATTCATATACGCAGCAGGGCCTAATCAGTGGTCCAGAGCTTGTGGCTTCACAGCTTTACGGCCCAAAGGGGAGCCCAGGGCCCCGAGATCGAGGACCCCGAAAGCACAGAGTCTCACGGCGCGCATCGGGCCCTGTTTTGGTGGCTCCATAAGCACAAGGTTACCTCGGACCTAGCTCCCTCTTCTGACAAAAACAACATGCTTTTTATCCAGAAGGTGGAGCGCAAACATCCGCTCAGGGAGAATGTTCACCCCCTCCAGACATTTAGGGTTCGGGGAGCTGACGGTACAAAACCAAGTTCAACACTTTTTGCTTGCTACACTTCTCGACTTGGGGAGGTCAAGTTTAGATCCGAGCTGAGGTGGAGTTCAGGGCTTCGAGCCGGGCTGCACAGCGCTCGGAGAAGGCCTCCGACTTGATCTGCTTCCAGCCATAGAGGGCCCCAGCCATCTGGCCGACGATGGCACCGACCTGTTCGTGCCGCTGAGGTTTGTCAAAGACTTCTGCTGGAGGCTGGCACATGCAGCAGTTGGCTAGCTTCAATGCAAGATTCACCTCGCACGTTCCAGACTTGGTTGCCAGGAGGCGGTGTCGGCGTCACCGAGCAAGTTCACGCCGGCCCGCACTGCGCTGGAGTAGCTGTTGGAGCTCCAGAGTGCCCAGAGAGCCATCGCCAGCCCATCCATGCCTCATCTCACGAAGAAAAGCCGTCAGCTTTGCACACGTTTGCACGGGCTTGACAATCCCGCCGGCACCCTTGCGCCACGTCAACGGGGATGGCGTTCATAAGTTCAGGACCAAGCCAAACATCGCAAACTCACTCTGCACCTTCGGGCTGTTTCTAAGTGCAAAGCCACCACCGGTACCCCGCTGCTGTTGCAGAACGTCTCTTTAGACCCGATCTGAAGCCGCTGCACTGGTGGCAGACATAACTACGCAAGGTGCCGCAACATGTGCAGGCGGCTGCATGCCGAGGAGCAATATGCACCGAAATACGTGGCTATGGTCGGATGTCCGTTGTACCTGGGCATACACGGAGCATGCATGCAGGGCTGCAATGAACTCGTGCGTACGGGGTCCATACTTCGAAAGGCTAACCTTTTCGAGACTCCGAAACCCTCGTCCAAGCCGCAGATCCACTCCGGCAATGCCTTGTCTGGCAGCGATCGAGTCGGCGATCGGCAGCTTCGCCACTTTCCAATTCCAGTGTGCCTCTTTCCTGCGCACAGCTGGATCTGTCGATTCTTGCCGTGGGGGTCCCCCAAGAAAAGCAAGCCTCGGGGAACAGAAGCCGTGAAATGCTACTCTATGCCACTCGTCGCCCCGATGATGAGCTGACGCAAGCCACAGGAATGGACAGCCGCGTGCATCAAACCCCCCAGCCACAAATTTCGAACCCTCAACCCTAAACTCGCATCGGACGATAGCCCAAATCCTGACCCGACACACCCCAAGAAGCCCAACCCTGGTCACCCTTATAACAGCCTTTGTACTGAACCCCAACCCTACAAAACCGTAATCTCCCTAAACCATAAACCCCAAAGCCCTATAGAACCCAACTCGCAAACCCCTTGCAGCTACCCTCCTATACCCGCCCAAACCCTACGAACTACTCAAGAAGAGGGAGCTTCCGGCCTGGAAGGCGCCTGGCTCATGAGCAGCTGCTGCAGCCGCCGGGCGCAGGAGCCGTCCTCGAGTTGAACGAGCCCCGTAGGGACAACATTTCTATGGCGCTTGGAGTTTAGAGTTTAGGGCCATAAATAACCCAATACAACATGATGATTTGCATCACCTCTCGATAGTAAAATCATGATGAACTGAATGACCCCTTGGCTCCATCCAAGTTTTGCTACAACCAACGAAGAGTGAGTCCGAAAAAAATAAACTTCAGGACTGGGCCGTGTTCGAGGCTTTGGCTTTGGGGTTGAGTGCTGTTCGCACCTTGCCTCTCTGTCAGACCAGGAGGTTTTTCCCTCCCGCTTGGCTAATTCCAGGTTTGGGCTCGCTCGGGCCCTGCAGAGCTCGGGGTCCTTAGCATTACTTGGGGCATTTCTGGCACCCTAAGTGAAGGTAAAGATGGAACCTGCTGAGATGTAAACTCAGCTCCAAGCAGATACGGTTTCAGCTCGTAAGCGCATCGAGCCATAGCCGTAGATGCCCACACACTGCTATGGAAGATGGTCAAGACTCAAGGAAAAAGTGGCCCGACCTGTCCTGGTCTAGCTTCTTCGGCAAGGCCATGGAGTCGCCTGGGCAGGCACGCAGTCTACACGAAAGTCGCTCTGGATGGGCTTCGGAACTCCCGGCGAACCCGGCTTGGGCCGGGGCTTTGTTGCAGAAAGGCGTTGATGTGGTTCTCCTGAGGCTCGTCAAGCTTCGCACCAGGCGTCCCACGAAAGCTCCGGCACTCTCCCCTCCGATATGTGACGTCACCCTCCACAGTTGCAGACAGGCATCCAGGAATGCTCGCGTATCACCGATGGGATCCAGCACAGTCAGCCTGAAGAGACACGGGCTTCTTTCGGGGCTGTACCCCTCCCAAAACCCTAAACCCTTATTGCAACTGGCTTGCAACGTCACGCCAGGACAGATGCCCAAAACTCCGGAACCTGAACCCTAAACCCCTAGAGCCCTGAACCCCTTTTTTTGCATCCAGGACTCCTGCAAGCAGCTCTGAACCCCTAAAGCCCTAAACCCTTCAACCTGAACCCTTCCTACTTGTACTGGTAGGGAGGAGTTGCGATCCCATCGCAAGCCGAAGATCCAAGAAGTTGACTCCCAGAAATCCCTACACCGCAACCTCTGAGGGCGTGAAAGAAAGAGGGTTTCAGCACTCACAACTGGGACAAGCCTGGCGAGGTTCCGAGTACATCGACGATAGCACATTGACCAAGGGCAGGCATATTCACCGCGCCCAAACTCATTCACAGTCTAATTAAATCATCCCAACACAACTCGCCCATCACATGACCTCCTTCTGACCTTCACGATCCCCGTTTTGGCTTCCTATCCGGAGCTTCCACTGCACATTGCCCTCGCTGAAGCATGCACATGCATCACAAAGCCTGACGCATGGCATGCCTCAGCACAAGCATCGTCACTCTCACTCCACGCATGAGAAATCCCGCGGTCAGGTGTCTCCCTCTGGCCAGC